CTCTACTCTCTCTACACACACGACTGCACTCCTCTCCACCAGAGCAACATCTTTGTGAAGTTTGCAGACGACACCACCGTGGTGGGGCTCATTTCCAGGGGTGAGGAGTCTGCTTACAGAGACGAGGTGGAGCAGCTGTCGTCATGGTGTAAGGCCAAAGAACTCATAACAGACTTCAGAAGGAAAAAGGCAGAGATCCCACCATTATTCATCAATGGGGACTGTGTAGAAAGGGTGGTAAACTTTCGCTTTCTGGGAATCAACATGGAGGAGAACCTTTCTTGGAGTGCAAACACCTCTGAGCTCCTGAAAAAGGCCCAACAGAGACTGTACTTCCTGAGAAATCTCAGGAGGAATAACATCACTCAGAGACTGCTGGTGTCCTTCTACGGAGCCACCATTGAGAGTGTACTAAATATTGCATATGCATTTGGTACACTAGCTGCACAGTGGCTCAGAGGAAAGCACTGCAAGGGCTCATTAACACCGTCCAAAGGATCACTGGCTGCCCTCTCCCCATGCTGGAAGATCTACACAAGACCAGCTGTCTTAAAAATGCTCAAAACATTATAAAAGATGCCTCATATCCTGGCCACTCACTGTTTGAACTGTTTCCCTTGGGCAGACTGTACAGAGCAATCAGTGCAAGGACAAATAGACTCAAACACAGCTTTTATCCAACTGCAATAACACGTCTGAATGCTGCTACAAGAAATGTCCATCACACCACTCTTGCGCTAATCTGCGCGCTGACTGAAGTATTTACGTGGGAATGTATGTGAATGTTTGCTAATACTTTTCTTATTAGCACTTTAAGTATTTTATTTATTGATTTTATTGAATTTTATTATTTTATTTCTATTTTCATACTTTTAGGGATGATGCACTGATCAGGGACCACTTTTAATTTAGTTGTACCTGTGGCAATGACAATAAAGACATTCAGATTCTGATTCTAAAAATCCACAGAGAGATCAGCAGAAGAGAGATCACTCTTGGAGGAAAGATTATCATATATGTGAAGAACACAAAAAGCAGAGCTGAAACATCTTCTACAAACATGTTATTGTGTTGTTATAGTGTGAAGAAATGTTTTCTATGACACTGTAGTTTACACGCATGGCTAAACAACAGATTTCAGACTTTCACACTGATGATTATTCTTCTTCACGCCTCAGATTCAGTGGAAAAATTACAAGACTGCATCACTTGTTAATCAGCAGCTGTATGATCTTCAGCTGCAGGGTGGTTTGAGGACCCGTTTGAAATCACGTGAGCCTCGTCACATGATTTCAAACAGTATCTTATTAATACTTGTTTGGCCTCTGCTCTGTCACAGTGCCACTTCTCTTCAGATTCAGCTGAAGAAACATCACTGCACACAATGTTTTTCCTCCAAGCTGCTGCTCTGTGCTGCCTGAGCTCAGGTGAGTGATTTTATTCAAACAAGAACACACCCTCTGTAACAAACGTTGACATACTAACCTATGTGTGTCTCTGCAGCGCTGTTTACCATGGCCACAGAGCTGATTCAAAATGATTTGACTCTGACCAGGAGAGCTGGAGAAAGTGTCTCCTTCAGCTGTGGGGGAACTGACCAGTGCAGCACTGCAGCTGTGTACTGGTACCAGAAGAAAGTCAGTGACAAATTCAGAGTGATTATTGGTATTAACAGACGCACTGGTGCGATCACTTCAGACTACAACCACCCTCAGCAGAATGATTTCTCTGCTGTGGTAAAACAGAACAGCTGGGAGTTGGAGCTCAAAACAGTTAAAGTCATTCATTCAGCCATCTACTACTGCTCCTGTTCTCAGAGTTCCCACAGTGTGAAATCATCCCTGCAGGCTGAACAAAAACCATCAGAGGAACAGCAAGAAACCACAGCTCCGTCTCAGTCTGAGAGAGAAGAGTTAGAGAAATTTTCAGTATTTAAATCAGACAAATGAAAATGTTCATACCATCAAAGGGTAAAATAAGTACTTGTAATCAAGGTTGAGAGCTACCTGGGAGTACAATACAATATAATTTTATTTATATAGCACATTTAAAAACAAGGTGTATGCCAAAGTGCTTCACAGAAACCAAATAAGAGCAGTAATAAATACAAGTAACTAAAATAATAAAATAAGTACAAATGGAATATACTAACAGGTGGGAGACATAACTAACCAATGATACCAGGCATAGTAGACACGAGCCGAGAGGCTGAAGGTTAAAACATAAAAACATTAATAAAAGCAAAAAAGATAAGTTACAGTACAGTTAAAAATGCAGGGTCTAGGAGGCAGGGAAGGATTGAATCAGACGTGCGGATAGCTTGAGGAAGATTATTCCAGAGGTAGGGTGCGACAGCGGCGAATGTGCGGCCACCTCTGGTCTTAAGGCGGGATCTAGTTCGCACCAGGAGCATTTGACCTGCTGATCTAAGCGCTCTCCTAGGGGTATAAGAGCTGAGGAGATCCTTAAGATAGCTGGACGTTATGTATGATTTTAAAAGTGAGCAATAAGATTTTAAAATCAATGCGATATTTAATGGGGAGCCAGTGCAAGTCGGAGAGAACTGGAGTAATAGACTCAAACCTACCAGCTAAGAGACACGCAGCAGCGTTTTGAACGAGCTGCAGTTTGTGAATAAGGGCAGAATGGAGACCAGTATAAAGGGAATTACAGTAACCTAATATTGATGTAACAAAGGCATGGATAAGTTTTTCCAGGTCCTTACGTGGTAAGTAGGGCTTGGCCTTAGAGATTAGACGTAACTGATATAAACCAAATTAAATACAGAGGACAAGTGTTTGTCCAGCTTGAAGGAACTGTCCAAGACAAAACCAAAGTTCCTCGTAGCAAAGATTAGCAAATATACTAGTTAGTTCAGCCCGAGGGATGGGAGTATCAAAGATTACAATTTCTGTCTTCTTATCATTTCAAATAAGGAAATTGCTCAGTAGCCAGTTTTTAACTTCACTTTTACAATCAAAAAAGTGTTGCAACGACGTGACATCCTCAGCCAGTTCAAAATAGATTTTAATGTCACCCGCGTAAAAATGAAAGGGAATATTGTGTTTATCAAAGATTCGGCCCAAGGGTAACAAGCATAAAGAGAACAGCAAAGGACCCAGCACAGACCCCTGGGGGACATTGGAGGTGACAGGGGCAATGGAGGAGGAGTAGGGGTAACCGGTCTCTGCGTCACCCCGCTGCAACAGTTCGGCCCAAACAGACTCCTCGACTCTGCGTTGTGTTTTTAAGAATACAAGGAGTCTCTGATCGATTGTTGCCACTTTATTTCCTGAATGGAAACAGCGGTGTTTTATCAGTGCAAAGGCTCACCA